TTGAGCTATAAAGTGTGACTCCTAACCTGCCATTAAAGCCAAACTATAGCTCTATACACAGAAATAGCCTCCAATAAAAAGTTGAAGGCAGAATATTTGTGGAGCAGGACAGTGAGGTGGACAGCTCTTAAATGCATGTTCTGGTGATGTTAGGAGGCTTTAGAGATGAGCTTGACTCTTATTTTGTCTGAGGCTATATTCATGCCATACTTTTACTCAGAGTTTGTGGGCTGAGTCTTCCTGCTCTTTGTCATTATGTCCATGAAGGAATACATAGCAGCTACATCGCATACTTACTTACTTACTGCAAGCACCTGGGCTGTTTTCTTATGTTGCATGTTCATGATTGTGTTTCTGACTTGTCAGTACAACACACTGATGCAGTAGTTTCCAACCTTTTCAGCTTGTGACCCCTCAAAAGGAAGCAGAGTTTACCGGCTGCTCTTCATCACAGCTTGCATGTATCTATAAGCTGTTAACACTTAGCCAAAGAGTAAACTTTCCCTCTCCCTTTCTCCCCTCACAGTGATTTATATGAATACTTATTAGAGGCCTGAGGAGGTCAAATGTTGTGGTCATTTGAAGCAGAACGAATTAAGACTCAAGTCATTTTGTGCTGCAGAAATAGATTGTCTTTTGATCTGCTCTCAGTCATATTTTTGGTTTTTAAAGAAACTCACCAACAATCTGCATTTTGAGCAGAGTCCTGTACTGGGTTGGGTACCTACAGGTGCCCAACGGGTAACCCGAAAAAAGCTGTGTAAGGGGCAAAAATATGTATGTATATAAGAGAGAGCATGATGTGTGCACCACACAGCTTCGGTGTCAGGTGAGGGAGAGCATGGTGCGCCCTGCAGCTTCAGCTTCAGGTGAGGGAGAGCAGCTGCTACCTCATTGGTTTGAAGCAGTAGCACACTAGTGTTAAATGTGGTCACAATTAATCCCTGACCACCTCCTGAGGTGGTTTGACTGATTGGTTTACAATCCATCCTCAGTGTGTTTGGGTGCATTTACACCTGTACTGTTATGGGATCCTGCAATATCTGATCACAATCCATCCATCCATCCATCCATCCATCTTCTAACTGCTTCATCCTCTTGAGGGTCACGGGGGGGAACTCTGTTTTTAGCCTCACTGTAGCCTGTAGCTCTGACTGCTTCTGTGCTCCGCATTCACGTGTGCGCGCGCTCAGGGTGATCGGTGATCTCTGAAGAGCAACAGTCTCGTCAGTACTGATGACCAGATTCTCAAGTGCAGGCATCGCCAATTCCCAGTCTGAGCAGCAAAGACTTTCCTCATCCGTTGGCATTGCTTTGCATTTGAAACAACTACACCACCAGGTTTCCATTGCTCGACTCCGGTATTCTGTGGCTTGCTGATTGTTAGGCTCATGAGCTGTGGCGGCTGCTTCGTCCAGGAGCCTGAGTTCCGTCCGTATACTCGGGCTCAAACAAATACGGCTCAACAGAGAAATGCTGTTCCTCCTCAATTTCAAAGTCTTCAGACATGTTGGGCTGTTCTTTGCTAAAAGACCGTAGTGCAAATTATCTTTTAGCTCTGTGGTTACGTTGTCTCTCCCTGCGGTACACGTGTCACGTGATGTAAACATGGGTGAGCAAAGCTCATGCTTTCGCTGGTCTCGCGCAGGCACGCACACGTGAGCGTGGAGCACAGAGAAGCAGTCAGAGCTACAGGCTACAGTGTATGGAGTAAGACAACTTCCAAAAAGATGTATCCATGATTCTAACCATTTGTATTCGTAATGTTAAACATTTGTATGTCAATAAAAAAGTTGTACACAAAATTCTGCTGTCATACGCATGAGTCTGAGAAATTGTTTGGGTTAGGATTGTTTTTATGTGAGTATGAATCTAAAAGATGTGAGTGCAAAGTCTTGTGAATACAACTCTAATTTCTACGACTACGAAGTCTTCACTGTGAATACGAATTCAAGTTTGTGGGTATGAGTAGAAAAGTGTTCAGATGACGTCACATAGGTCACAGGCAGGTCACAGGGGAAACTAATCGAACCCCGATTGCTCCGAAAACGCATGCGCAGAAGCCAAAGATGGCTGCAAGCGGTGCACCCAGGGATGCTCGTGGGGGTGCAAGTGAAGCATCACAGGTAAAGTCAATAACACATCCAATATTTGTTTATTTATTTATTTCATAAAATTGTACTGTTTTAAATAATATACAGTTTATGGACGTACAGACGTACTGCTTAGCTTGCAAGCTAACGACGTGCCGGTGACCCACAGTTAGGCCTAGTGCTTGCATTAGCCTACTAGCATTAACGTTAGAAGTTGGCTTACCTGCAAACTATGAAAAAACTAAACTAAACTAATTTTAGATATAATGTTGACCAAAATACAGCTTTCATCGATTTATAAATTGTGTCAATTGTCGTATATTTCTGCCCATCGTTTGCCTTACTGTAAGTTAAGTCCGGTTTCAGTTCTTCTTTGCTAACTCTGTTCTCGGTCTCGTGCATTTGTTTACAACGAAGCCAGCGGGGAGTCAATCAGTGGATCGATGGATTATCATACACACATTATGACGTGTATATATTTGTAGTCCTATCTGTCATAAATAAGAGATTAGGGGTTATGGGGCGTGTTTGTGTCGCTGTGTCGCGGTGCCGCAGAGACAAGAGCTGGGACACCGGGTTATATTCTCCATGTAAAGAGTTAAGTCGTTTATTATTTAACCAGCACTATTACTCTGAAGCCGTTTAATCAAGGTAAAAAAAATGAACCATAAGGGAAATGTCCTGCATAGCCTCTTGGATCAGAGTAATTATAATTGACATTTATTGTATTAACTCGAATGCTTATGATTGGTATATTATTTTGCTAAAAATACAAAATTATTTTGAATGTCTGTCCAGCCTATGTGGAATTTATAAAACACTGTATGTTGGTAAACGACTATGTTAACAGTGGCATTTGTTGTTTACAGGGACCAGTGGCCACTCGGTTATTGGAACGTCTGAAATCGAGGATTACAGATGTGTTGAATCAACCACACTTGAACTTGGACTATTTACAATACATTGTAAATTAAGAAGCATTCATTCTGACAGCTGCCTCCAGTACTTTAAACATCCCAGCTGAAATTGTGTCTTGTCTTTTATCCCTGCAAAGTAAGATCCACGCAGCTGTTTCCCAAGAGAGTCCCTGTGCTTTTATTAGAGCTGGAGAAAGGGGCCGACGAAAGTTCATTTTTTCTGAGGAGCTTCTGTCTCGGCTCATCGACGTCCCCTTACCAGTGTCTTGCATCGCCAGTGTGTTAGGTGTCAGCCAGAGCACAATTTTCAGGCGCATGCGTGAACTTGGCTTGTCCACGCGGTCCACATACAGCACCCTAACTGACAGTGAATTGGATAATGCAGTCCAGTCCATCAAATGCCGGATCCCAAATGCAGGATATCGCATGGTAAAAGGCTGTCTGCAAGCCGATGGACATCGGGTTCAGTGGGATCGTATTAAAGAGTCCATGCACAGAGTTGATGCTCCAGGAGTTTTGGAGAGAATGACACGGCTGGGCTGCATAGTGAGGAGGAAATATTTTGTGCAAGGGCCTTTGTCATTAGTCCATATAGACACCAATCATAAGCTCATACGGTAACACTTACATTAGACTTATTCACATATTTACTTATTTGGGGGCACTGCTCATTGTCAATTCATATTTTGTTTTCTAGGTACAACATCGTCATATTTGGCGCTATAGATGGGTACTCGAGAAAGGTTTGTCACCTTTTATTGCAGTGTTTTATTATCTCTGAATGTGTTTGTATTCATGTATTCACTGTTCTATCACAAACTGCATATGTGTTACCTACATGGTTCACACACATGATTAACAATGAATTTTATCATATATTATTCTGTCACCTTAAGTAGATAGACCCAGATTGCAATTTTAGGGAGCAATACTGACTGGTCAATCATATGGGAAAAAAAATGGTGGGAGGAGGGAGGGGAGGAGAAAATAATGAGAAGAAAGGGAGGAGTTTAAAGAGAGATCAAGAGTAGCAGGAGGATGAAGAACGCAGGTGGGATGAGACAAAGGCAGAGGTACAGGAGGAGAAGAGCAGGGAATAAACATTTTAAATAAAGATAACTTATCTTATGTGTTGTAGGCCTTAATATTTTGCCTCTGCAGATTCAAACACTGTCTTTCTATACAGATTTTCTATCTGGAACCTGCAACAAATAACCACTCAAACACTGCTCATTCATTTTTTCTGAAGGCAGTGGAAAACTATGGCTGGCCTTCCAGGTAAACAATGACATGAACTTGGTCTATTGTTTCATTATCCTAATTACTCATTTCAGTAATAGTTGATGGAATGTTTTGTTGTGATGAATACATTTCTTCCATGTATTTTCAAGGGTCGGGGGCGATGAAGGCGTTGAAAATGTCTCAATTGCTGAAACCATGTTCACTGTGAAAGGCACTGGAAGAGGGAGCTTCATAGCTGGGCGCAGTGTGCATAATCAAAGGTTATAATAAATAATTCACATAATTTACAGTATATCATATAAGATGTAAAATGGAAAAAGTATTGTTATAAAGTGTTTTCAGTCAGATAATTAAAATTTTCAGCTGAATAATTCCTCTTTCTGATCTAGGATAGAACGCCTCTGGCGAGATGTCTGGACCAGCGTGACACACCTTTACTATGAAGTTCTTCACAGTCTTGAGGAAGATGGCCTGTTGCATTTGGCAGATGTTGTTCATCTGTTTTGTGCCCACTATGTCTTCCTTCCACGCCTGGCAGAGGCACTTCACACCTTCACAGAAGGCTGGGACAACCATCCTTTACGGTCTGAAGGTGGACTCTCCCCAAACCAGCTCTGGGTTTTGGGCCACACGAAGAAACCTTGTGACCCGAATGAAGATTTGCAGGTTTGTTGAGGTGGTGTTTACAAAGGCAAAGTGCAGTTGACAAGTTTTGAACCTGATTATGTGGAGGATTAGGTTAATATATATACAATTGAATTTTTAATATTTGAATGGGGTCAGTATCTTCAACACAACAATGTGGAAGGAGTAGAAGGTTAAAATTCAGGAGCAATTTGTTGAAAAAATGATATACAAGTAAGTGTGTAATACTTCATTGAAGTGATCACACAAATAGAGCAAGTCAGCAAAGCAAAATTTATAATAGATGTACTCAATGTTCTGATTGCTTGAACAATATACACATTTTATTCTCTGGTTAAATGTTGTTAAAATGTTTCTCAATCATTAGCCTTATAACTTAATTGTCTAACTCATATTTTGGCTAAATTGTGATATCTACCTAGTTCCCCTAACACTGCAGATTCACCATGTATTATGACTCAGACAGTTATTCTATTGGGCTAACAAATGCTGGTTCATATAAAATGACATAAAAACTCTTGGAACTATAACCAGAGTGTGCGGATAATTCCTTTCCTTTTTGTTCTTGATTATCTTTTATCCTATACCTCACCTTGTAAGAATTTGATGTGCACAAATTTTGTCTTATTGTGAAAGGAAATATAGACAAACATTTCTACCTGTGAGGAATTCTCTGCTAAGGGCCCCAGTGTCAATGCCTGCCTCGCCAAAGAATGTGACCTTAAGTCTACATTTGGGTGATGTCTTCTTCTGCTGCTGCCATTGTTGCATGCCTCTGCTGAAGAAGTCAGTTCTCAACACACAGTTTGTCTGTCTGTCTTGTCTGTTTCATTAACTTGTAAAGCGATCCAATCCAAGATTTCCTCAGCACTGGAATTAAAAACAAAAGACAAAAATTAAACATTAAAATAGACACCAACATGTCTTTTCTGAATGCTTTATTTACTTATTTATTTCTTGTTCAACACTGAGCATTTGAATAACAAACAAAATTAGACATGGTTATACTGTCTGTATAATGTCCTAGCTGTTTGCTACAATTATTCCAGGTGTTGGGGTGTGGCATGGTACAATGATTGCCTCACCTCCTATACTGGTGAAATTGTAAGGGATGAAAGCAGGCCTCATGTAAGTCAAGACAAGAACAAAATATGTCACAAACATACCATGTTTTTGGATTACCACATTTCTCGGTGATCACAGTCCACACATATTAAAAAGCTTTCCAACAGGAAAAAAGATGTCAAGATTGATACTGCAGTATCTCTTTAAAGTGTATATTATCCAGATGACATAATTTGTGACCATAATTACCTAATGTACAATATTACTTTTGAAAGGTACTGATTTGACTGACTGGCACTGATCCACTTGACTCATGGCCATCATTTTCTGTAGGTCTGCAGTGCACACATAAAGAAAACAGCTTGTCCTAAATTATCTTGACATAAACACTTGCATACATATGAAAAATTGCAAGGCAATCCTCTTAGATGTAATTTGTTAAATGAACGTAGACATACATGAAAAAAGATACACTAAAATCATTAATATTACCGTAATCTGCATGTGGCTGCATGGATCTCAATTATGTCAGCTTGAAATGCATTGTTGCACACAGGACATTCTGCTGACTTAAAACAGAATTCACCAGGCATGTGAATAAATCCTCACATTATCCCTAACATTAATATCTTAATTTACTAGGAAGGCACAAACAATTTCACCTTGCCTTCCTGGCTGCTAATGGAATCTGGTAATTCATCTTCACGTTCTTCGTTGCAGCTTTCCTGGGGGAGAAAAACAATAGTAATACGTAAGTGTTTAGAGCATAATACAGAATAACATCTCATTTTCCAATATAAACAGCTGTGAAATAAAGTCTAAAAGACTCAACTTTGACATACCTCTTCCGCAGAAGAGGTCAAATCTACAAATTCTGTCTTGCATTCCTTGATATGTAATGGAAGAATCTGAAGAGGAACCATTTTCTTGCAGGTTGTACACTGGGCTTTGGGCATGTTCTCAAACTCCTTTGCTTCAGGTGGTAATGGAATTGTATCAAGTTCTTCTTGTAAAGGATAAATGTACAATGTGTATTTTCCATTCCCGCTCACTGCTTTTAGCTGCTGGCCAGTGTATCCATGTAGATCTGGAGGGATGATGACCAAGCTCCGCCGCCCATCCCCACCTAAAATTGAAATTTTATGGATACTAAACAAACCTGAATATAGAGTAACTACTCATATGTAGAGTATTTTTAAACAACATTAATCCAGTGTATATATGCCTACATACCTGTGGACTTGTTCAGCATCCAGCCACCACAGATATTTGCCAGTCTTGGATATGCACTCAAAAGCAAATCTGAAAACTTAAGAGACAAAACAATAGTTAAAGCTTTATTGCAATGACTTATATTTATGAGCTACTGTTTATTTCATCATGCAAATCTTAATTAAATCATGTGTCAAGATGAACTCTAAGTTGGGCATTTTTCTCTTGAGACATGACTTCACACAAGGCAGTAAATTAATAATAACGTACCTCTGAATGTGTCATGTTTTCAGATATAGATAGTGAACGTTTTCCAAGGCCAGCCAACATGAGTGGCAGTTCCTCTTCGCCTTCTGGTGTTTTTTCATATTGTTTTTAAGAAGAAAAAAGTTCACCAAAAAGCTCCTCCCAGATTCTTTTTTCCTGAATGGTGCAAAACGCCCTTTGCCCCTTGCCTCCTTTTGAAAAAATCCTGGAAAAGACCTAAAAAAGATAGCATACTATTATTCTCATCTTTTATATTCCATCAACAAAAAAACAAACAAGCTAACTCAGAAAACTAAATGATTATGTTAGGTTATGTAAATTTGTTTAATTTGTTTTATGCAATAGTTTACATGGCGATGGTCTGAAGCTGCAGAAAATAAATTATAAAATTAAAAAATCTGCAGCTGTTTCACTGCCTTCTGACTGAATCAGAATCAGGGACCTGTTATGTGCCTGAACTGGGAATGCAATAAATGACCCATGTACCCTACCGCGCCATTTCTTGTTTCACTGACAGTCCATTGTTTTGAGATCTTGTAAGTTGTTGCACTGCCTGCTGAGGTTGCCTCACTGTTGACTGCACTCCCTGTCCAACATCAGCTTCTCCTGAAGTTCCCTGTCTGCCTGGCCTGACATTTGCGGCAGGTACACTGTTACTTAACATCAACACCAGATTTTGTGCTGTGTTGATGATGTCTCTTAATTGGACCTGAGTGAGAAAAAAGACAAAATTGAATAGCAAATGCTACAGACATGGGTACTTCTCACAATTTCACAGAATGCCTGCAAACTAACTTCTTTTGAGCTTGAGTCAGCATCCACACCAAACAACAAGCCAGTCTGGTCCCATGCAAACCAAACCTGTGCACCTGATCTCGGGCAAATGACTGCATATAATAATCATTATTATAGGGCTCTATTGCGTGTTGTCAATGTTGGTCTGTTATTTCTGTATAACAGACCATTGCTCGGGACGCCGCTCTGATCCAAGAGGCTATGCAGGACATTTGCCTTATGGTTCATTTTTTTTACCTTGATTAAACGGCTTCAGAGTAATAGTGCTGGTTAAATAATAAACGACTTGTAACTCTTTATATGGAGAATATAACCCGGTGTCCCAGCTCTTGTCTCTGCGGCACCGCGACACAGCGACACAAACACGCCCCATAACCCCTAATCTCTTATTTATGACAGATAAGACTACAAATATATACACGTCATAATGTGTGTATGATAATCCATTGATCCACTGATTGACTCCCCGCTGGCTTCGTTGTAAACAAATGCACGAGACCGAGAACAGAGTTAGCAAAGAAGAACTGAAACCGGACTTAACTTACAGTAAGGCAAACGATGGGCAGAAATATACGACAACTGACACAATTTATAAATCGATGAAAGCCGTATTTTGGTCAACATTATATCTAAAATTAGTTTAGTTTAGTTTTTTCATAGTTTGCAGGTAAGCCAACTTCTAACGTTAATGCTAGTAGGCTAATGCAAGCACTAGGCCTAACTGTGGGTCACCGGCACGTCGTTAGCTTGCAAGCTAAGCAGTACGTCTGTACGTCCATAAACTGTATATTATTTAAAACAGTACAATTTTATGAAATAAATAAATAAATAAATATTGGATGTGTTATTGACTTTACCTGTGATGCTTCACTTGCATCCCCACGAGCATCCCTGGGTGCACCGCTTGCAGCCATCTTTGGCTTCTGCGCATGCGCTTTCGGAGCAATCGGGGTTCGATTAGTTTCCCCTGTGACCTGCCTGTGACCTATGTGACGTCATTTGAACACTTTTCTACTCATACCCACAAACTTGAATTCGTATTCACAGTGAAGACTTCGTAGTCGTAGAAATTAGAGTTGTATTCACAAGACTTTGCACTCACATCTTTTAGATTCATACTCACATAAAAACAATCCTAACCCAAACAATTTCTCAGACTCATGCGTATGACAGCAGAATTTTGTGTACAACTTTTTTATTGACATACAAATGTTTAACATTACGAATACGAATGGTTAGAATCATGGATACATCTTTTTGGAAGTTGTCTTACTCCATAACAGTGAGGCTAAAAACAGAGTTCATATAACGTTTTTCGAAACAACTTTTTATGTCGCGGCTGCAGCACACTTGGATCACTATGGATGAGCAGTATAGAGATACTTTGTGGATTGTGTTCTTGGACGTTAGTCTGGGGCGCTGTCTACCATGAGGTGTGCAAGCCGCTCAACCTGCTGATCTCCGCAAGGGATGCGAGCACTCTAAAACTTCACCAGGGCCTCCGTCGGCATATGGGTGAGTAGATAATGGCTGAATTTTAATTTTTGGGTGCACTGTCCCTTTAAGAATTTACAACAAACACATTTTCTTTTAGATATTCTTTTTATTAAATCACGGCCTGCATCAGATCTCCCCATTTCAAAAAGTTGAGGAAATCTCTCACAATAATTGTTCCTGTGGCGCTCAGTGGTGCATTTAGGAGCAATCAGTCTCTTGCTGAAGGTGCTCCTCTGTTCGACCAGAGCGTTGTGGAGAGGGTGAGAGCCATGCTGAAGTATCGCCCGCACCTTTGACAGCATCCTCCTGTCTGACACTGCTGTCAAAGTGTCCAGCTCCATCCCCACAACGTCACTGGCCTTTCTGATCATCTTTTTGAGTCTGTTGGCATCGTCTACTCTCAGTCTGCTGCCCCAGCACACCACAGCATACAGAATAGCACTGGCCACCACAGACTCATAAAACATCCTCAGCATAGTCCGGCAGATGTTAAAGGAGCGGAGCCTCCTCAGAAAATAGAGGCGGCTCTGTCCCTTCTTGTAAAGGACTTCAGTGTTCTTAGTCCAGTCCAGTTTATTGTCAATGAACACACCCAGATACTTGTAGTGTTCTACAATGTCCACGTTATGCCCCAGGATGGAAACTGGGGTCACTGGTGTCCTCGTTCTCCTCAGATCCACCACCAGCTCTTTTGTCTTTGTTGTGTTGAGCTGCAGGTGGTTCAGCTCACACCATGAGACAAAGTTATTCACCACAGCCCTGTATTCAGCCTCCTCACCCTTGCTGATACATCCAACTATAGCAGAGTCATCAGAAAACTTCTGAAGATGACAAGACTCTGTCTGGTAGCTGAAGTCCGTGGTGTAAAGGGTGAAGAGGAAAGGAGAGAGGACAGTACCTTGTGGGGCCCCGGTATTGCTGACCACTGTGTCACCTTGTCACCCAGTTGAGCAGGCCTGATGGTATTGAAAGCACTGGAGAAGTCAAAGAACGTGACCCTCACAGTGCTCCCCAGCTTGTCCAGGTGGGCGTAGACGCAGTTCAGCAGGTAAATGAGGGCATCCTCAACTCCAATCCGGGGCTGGTTGGCAAACTGGAGGGGATCCAGGTGCGGCCTGACCATAGGCCTGAGCTGCTCCAGGACAAGTCTCTCCGGGGTCTTCATGATATGTGATGTCAGTGCAGTCGGTAGTCCGAGAGACCGCTGGGCTGCGGCGTCTTTGGCACTGGAACGAGGCAGGACGTCTTCCATATCACAGGGATCATGTTGAAGACACGATGAAGCACTCCACAGAGCTGTTTGGCGCAGGCTTTGAGAACCCATGGGCTGACACCATCAGGGCCTGCAGCCTTACCAGCGGGGAGTTTGCTCAGCTGTCTCCTAACATGTAGAGGTGTAAAGAGTGCAGGAGAGTGGGGAGAGTTGGAGTCCAAAGTGAGAGGAGGGCAGGTAGCATGGGAGCCAGAGGAGGTGTGAGGAGTGGGGGATGGGTGTGAGGGGCTCACCAAGTTGTATGCGGTGCTATCAGGAGGAGGAGGGGGGGTCAGAAGTGGTGGTGGCTGGAGACAGTCAGCAGGAGAGCCAACAGGGGCCGGGGCAGCAGTGTCAAACCTATTGAAGAACAGATTTAACTCACTGGCCCTAGCCACACTACCATCAGCTCTACTGCTAGTTGGTCTGTAATCGGTGATGGTCCTCATACCACTCCAGAACTCCTCTCCAGCTTCCTCCTGTAGCCGTCCTTAGCCTCATTGATCTTTGCACTCAGCTCCCTCTGAATGTCCCTCAGTTCCTCCATGTTGCCAACTCTGAAAGCCCTCTTCTTCAGGTTTCCAACCGCTTTTCCCCACTCAGCGACACACCCGCTGAGGATAAAACTCTGGTTATTGGTAGCTCTATTCTGAGGAACATGAAGTTAGCAACACCAGTGGCCATAGTCAAATGTATCCCTGGGGCCAGAGCGGGCGACATTGAATCAAATTTAAAACTGCTGGCTAAAGCTAAACGTAGATTCAGTAAGACTATTATTCACGTCGGTGGCAATGACACCCGGTTACGCCAATCGGAGGTCACTAAAATTAATGTTGCCTCGGTGTGTGAATACGCAAAAATGATGTCGGACTCCATAGTTTTCTACGGAGATGATGATGATGTTCAGCCGCATGTCATCATTTAATTGCTGGCTGTCCAGGTGGTGTCCAGCAAACGATGTGGGTTTTGTTAATAATTGGCAAACTTTCTGGGGAAAACCTGGTCTTATTAGGAGAGACGGCAT